GACAAACCTGGGATATCATGCCTGGAGATAAATAGCCAGTTCTATCTTTGGCAAAGAGAAGGACTAAATCAGTTCTATGTAAAGTAAAAATAGTGTTAGTTATCACAGATGTCTCAGTTTGCAGCTTAGCCTCTCCCAGGCTTGTCCAAGCCCAACACAAGTGGCAACCATCTCCAGATCACTTTGTAGCTCATACCAAGTGGCCCCGGCCAGGGCTCAGGCAGCAGCTGACCTTTGTATGCACCAGAGCCCCATTCAAGAGGCCCAAAACCAACACACCCAATGGTAATTTCAGACCACACCTGAGCACCACCCAACCACCTCCACAAACCACACGCAAAGGGCAGACTCAGCGGCAGCAGCGCCTTGCTAAAGCTAGTCCTGCTCTGTTGTTGTGCAGGGTCAGCTCCTGCACAACAGCTCCTCCACTTAGTCACAAGCCAGTCCTCACAGCCAGTCAGCCGGAGGGCCAGTCCCTCCTATTGATGTGCAAATAGCATGTGCAATAGTCCCTCCTACTGATCTGCAAATAGCAAATATAGGCTCTACTACAACACACAGCCCACACAAAGGACACACTTGGAGCACCCAACTCAGGTGACCAGGGTAACTGCGCCATTGGGACCCACAGGACACCTACTATATAAGGCCACTTTAGTAAGACTGGAAGATATAGCAGCTCTCCCTGATACATAGAAACAAACAGGAAGGCAGCCAAAATGAGGCAACAAAGACACTCCAAATGGAAGAACAGAACAAAGCTCAAGAAAAAGAACTAAACAAAATGGAGACAAGTAATCTACCAAATGCAGAGTCAAAACATTGGTTTTAAGGATGCTCAGTGATCTCAGTAAGAACTTCAATAAAGAGATAGGAAACAATAAAATGGAAATAGAAAACAAAAAAGAACCAGTCAGAAGTGAAGAATACAATAACTGAAATAAAGAATACGTTAGATCAGCAGTCCCCAACCTTTTTGGCACCAGGGACCGGTGCTCCTACGAGAATCTAATGCCTGATGGTCTGAGGTAGAGCTGAGGTAATGATGCTAGTGCTGGGGAGCGGCTGCAAAGACAGAAGAAGCTTCATTCGCTCACCCGCTGCTCACTTCCTGTTGTGGGCCCAGGTTCCTAACAGGCCTTGGACCAGTACTGGTCTGCAACCTGGGGCTTAGGGACCCCTGCATTAGAAGAAATCAACAGTAGATTAGGTGAAGCAGGATGGAATTAGCGATTTGAAAGATAAGGTAGCAGAAAATACCTAATCAGAACAGCAAAAATAAAAAAGAATCCAAAAAAATGAGGATAGTTTAAGGGGCCTCTGGAACAACATCAGGCATACCAACATTTGCATCATAGGGATGCCAGGAAGAGGGGAGAGGACAAGGAATTGAAAACCCTTTTGAAGAAATAATGATGGAAAACTTCCCTATCCTGGTGAAGAAAATAGACATACAAGTCCAAGAAGTGCAGAGAATCCTAAAGAAGATGAACCCAAAGAGGCCTACACCAAAACAGATCATAATTCAAATGCCGAAGGTTAAACACAGAGAATTTTAACAGCAGCAAGAAAAAAGCAATTACATGGGAGCTCCCGCCAGAAGGAATCAGCATAAAATATTCGGTGATGAAAAGCAAGGACTTATAACCAAGATTATGCTATCCAGCAAAGCTATCATTTAGAATTGAAGAACAGACAAAGAGCTTCCCAGACAGGAAAAAGCTAAAGGAGGTCATCACCACCAAGCCAGTGTTACAAGAAATGTTAAAAAGACTTCATTAAGAAGAAAAAAAGATCAAAAATATGAATAACAAAATGGCAGTAACTACATACCTATAAATAATTACTTTAAATGTGAATGGATTAAATGCTCCAATCAAAAGACATAGGGTGGCTGAATGGATAAGAAAACAAGACCCTTACATATGCTGCCTACAAGAGACTCACTTCAGATCAAAGGACACACACAGCCTGAAAGTACAGAGATGGTAAAAGATATTTTATACAAATGGCAAGGGTGCGGGGAAAGCTGGGGTAGAAATACTTATACCATACAAAACAGACTTTAAAACAAAGGCTATAACAAGAGAGAAAGAAGACTCAGTAATCCCAGTTCTAAGTATTTATCTGAAGAAACCCAAAACATTAATTCAAAAAGACATATGCATCCATATGTTCCTTGCAGCATTATTTACAATGGTCAAGATATGGAAGCAACCTAACTGTCCATCAGTAATGAATGGATAAAGAAGTGGTACATATATACAGTAGAATATTACTTACCATAAAAAGAGTGAAATTTTGCCATGTGCGACAATATGGATGGACCTAGAAGGTATTTTGCTAAGTGAAATAAGACACAGAGAAAGACAAATATATGATTTCACATGTGGAATTTAAAAAACAAACAAAACAGAAACAAACTTGTAGATACAGAGAACATTTTGATGGTAGCCAGATAAGAAGGGATGTGTGAAAAAGGTGAAGGGATTACGAAATACAAATTGGTAGTTACAGAGGAATCATGGGGACATAAAGTACAGCATAGGGAATATAGTCAATAATATTGTAATGACTATGGATGGTGTCAGACGGGTACTAGACTGACTTACTAGAGTGAACATAAGTTATATAAATGTTTAATCACTATGTTGAATACTTGAAACATTATATGTCAACTGTAACTGAAAAATCAACAATTATTATTTTTTTTTTTAAAAAAGAAAGCTTTAGTAACTTGCCCAAGGTCCTGCATCTCCCTAGTGGCAGAGCCACAGTTTGAACCTAGACCTAATTGAGGTGAAAGTAAAATTGCCCCCACTTATCTAGTGCTTATCATATATCAGGTATTGTTAAACTCATTTAATCACCATAATAACTCTAAGAACCTAGTTTTATAAAAGAGGAAACTGAAACTTCAAAGATTTCAAATAATTTTCCCAAGTCACACAGCTAATTAAGTGGCAAGATAAAAATTTAGAGCAAGGTTTGCAAGTTACCAAACAAGGTGATGACATCCTCCCTAAACTGGCAAAAATAATCACTTGTTCAAATTTGTTTCATTTTAGGCTGTCAAAAGACACGAGTCTTTAACAAGCCTGAACTTAGAAAAGAAAGCTCGTCTGAGAGAAGAAGCAGCTCTGAAGGCCAAAACAGAGTAGCAGAGGTATCCATGTTGGCTGGATTTTGAAAATCCAGGAATAACATTGCAGCACCAAGTCTGTATTAAAAGGAATGTGGTATGAGGATCCATTTCATAAAAGTATGGTTTGTACAAACTTAAAGCATTTCCTATTTCTGCTCTAGAGGTACAAATAAATTTTCTTAAAGAAATGACTTGTTCATATTTCATGACTTTGATCCAGGTTAAATGCAGCCTCAGCTTTTTTGATAAAATGGAAGAATAAAAAATGAGACAACTTAGTTTGACTTAAATATTAACTCTTCTTTAGAGAGTCAGGTACCATATCTTACTTTAATTCCCATTACCAGAATGGCTTCTAGTTCTGCATCTCTCTTTCACTTCTGGAAAGATCATGAATACCAGCTGAGTACACTGCCCGAGTGCCTCTTGGAGAGCTAACCTCCCCAAGTGCCATGGTTCTTCCTTCATACAGCCATGGGAAGCAGCCAGACCACACTTTGCCATCTTTAGGTGTGCTGGCAGACAGAGGCTTTTGGGAGCGCAGTCTTTGAAAACGGCCTGGCAACGTGATGAGAGTGGTCTGGCCACAAGTTTCTGAGGACTTTGAAATCTCAGCATCATGGAGTTGCTTGGGGCCAGCACAGTCACCTCTTTTGCTCCATGGCTTAGAATTCCCAGCTGGTCCTTTTCCTGCTGCCTTTACACTAAACTTCTCAATTATGAATCTGTCAAATGCATTTTCTTATTAAGTGTTGAAAAACAAGCATTTGCACCTGGCACATATCTTACTTTTTGGGATCCCAAGCTGTCTCATTTTTAGGTATGGATGCTGGTTTCTATTTTAAGTATTTCATTTATTCTCACATGCTTCGTGGGTAATAACGGATGACAAGTCCTCATAGTCATCCCAACCTGCTAGTTCTCTTCAGATGGTTATAACAGATTACAAAGTAATATATGCAGCTGTTTAGGAACTTGTTTAATATTATACTCAGTAAAATGTAATTCATCAGTCTATCTGTAGCTTCATAATCTGATAATGTTAATGTCTGTCTATAAACTTGATGTTAGAGTAATTTGGCCGTACCTTCTTTTTCGTTACCAAGTTCTTTGATTTTTATCACTTGCAAACATATTATCAAAAAGCAGTTTCTTATACAGTTAGCAGATTCGTTTTTCTTATTTTGGAACACTTATGTTACATCTTACCTAAACCAATGTTTTAAATTTGGGTAAGTTTTAATGTACTTCTTTTAAAAATAAGTAATCTTTCTTTGTATAACAGTACCATTTTTAACTTCTAAAGCAGCATTTTAAAGGGTTGTATCTTAGAGATTATAATAAAAATATTTTATTAAGCCATTCACAAATGTTACAGTGCAGCAAGAATTTACACAGTCATTTCTCATTTTGTGTCATTCTCCTATTCAAGAACTTATAGTGACTGCCTCTTTATGGGTTAAATATAAATTTCTTGGCCAGAATTTCAGATGTGCCCCTAATCCCACTTTTCCCAGACCCCTCACATACTGACTTCTTAGCAGTCATCTCTTACTAATAACTCTAATATCTTATGGTCCTCAGAACTTGTCAAGCAAATCAGATTTGATGAGCACTATTATAAGGTATTTTGTGGAACACAAAATAAGAGTTTTGCCCTTGATGCTTTAAATTATCATTGTACTATTTTTTTGCTTCTAGATGTTTTTTCATGGTTTTTATCATGTCTCTATAAAGTGGGCAAAAACTATTTTCCACTTTATATTTTCTATAAGCCCTGTTTGAATAGTTAATATATGAGTCTATACTCAGATACTTCTAATTTTAATCCACAAAAATAATAGTTATGAAGGAATTGGTTCTAAAAATTTATTGAAAGCAGACAAGGAATGAATGAAGTGGTAGTATAATTCATTGTCATTCCTCAAACATTAAGCCCCTTCTACATACAAAAACTGGAAATACAAAGATGAATAAAACATACTTTTGACTCCATGGAGCTCATAATTTACTGGAAACATGGCCCATAAAACCATTACAATACAAACTGGTAAATAACATATTTTGAAACTTTATAAAACAGAAGCTATAGAAAAAAACAAGAAAACCTAACTCAGCTGTCAGCTATGGTTAGAGTCAGGCAAGCAGTGATGACTCCACGAAATGATTTCTCAACTGAATTTGAAGCATGGGTAGTTTCTAGGTCAGACACATAATGAAAGAGGAAAGCCTCACCATTCAGACATTTAGCTTGCTTGAAAATCATACAGGCACAATCTGGCAAGACACTGAGAGGTCCTTCAGTAAAATGTCATTTATAATGTTTAGTCTCTAGAACAAACCTAACCATGACTTTTGTTTTCCAGTTTACAGACTTGATTTCATGGACCATGTCATGTCTCATCATGTAGGCTGTCACATAAAGTGTTTGAGTGGCATCTGACATAACATTTCCAATCCACCACCATCCCAAGCTTATGCTCTTATTCATATAATCTCCCAAACCAAAAACCTTGGAGTTATTCCAAACTTCTTTGTTCCCCTCATTTAGTCAGTCATCCTCCTGTCTTGTGAATCTTACTTCTAATTATTTCTCAAATACACTCATCCTCTAGAATAGCCGAGAGGAATAGAATGGAAATCTGTTCAGGGACAGACACAAGAGATTAATAACAGACCTTGGGATGAAAAGTCAGAAGCCCTAGGTTCTAGACTTGCTTTTCCAACTGTCTTGCTTTTTGTAAATTCAGGTTATAGGTCTTAAAATCGTATAATCCAAGAAAATATTTAAAAATACAAAACTATACCAAAATTAAGAGAAACCATCTTTTTAAATATCTTTTTTTGCCAACTTGGCTCGACTCTAAAGGGTTCAGTAGTCACTCATCCACAGTTTAATTGTTTTGTCATTTTCTAATGCTGCTGATGCAATGATGTTTTCTGTAGGATGACAAGCTGCTGAGATTACAACATCTGTATGCCCTTGTAATTTCTGTACAATCTCTTTTGTCTGAAGGTTCCAAATGTAAATCAGGTTATCCTCTGAACCAGACACAATCCACTTTCCACCAGTAACCGAAAAATTGGCAAATATGCAGTATTTCTCATTCTTATGGCCAGTGTATGTCTTCAGGCATCTGCCTCTGCTATAATCCCATAATTTAAGAGTATTGTCCAAAGTCGCCATCAGAATATATTTACCATTTGGAGAAAATTTTACAAAAGATACAGGAGGGTTATCATCATCAACAAGTGCTTTTAAACACTGACCTGATGCAGCATCCCAGATTCTACAGACACCATCATAGCTACCTGATACTATCAAGGACCCACTACAATTAAAATGAACAGCAGAAACTGGATCAGAATGAGCAGATAGAGTCTTGAGGCACTTTCCCGTTTTCACCTCCCATATTTTCACACTCTCATCAAAAGAGCCTGAAATTATAAGGTTAGATAGTGGATTGAAATTACAGCAGAAAACATAATTACTGTGCCCTTTCAGCGTTTTCAGACATTTTCCAGACCTCACATCCCAAATCTTTAGAGTTTTATCATCTGAGGCAGAAACAAGACGACTGGAATCTGATGACCAGTCAACATCCGATATTTCCAAATTGTGACCATAAAGTGTTTTCTCATATTTTCCATCATAGGCTCCCCAAATTATAATTACTTTATCAGCAGAAGAACTTGCTAGCCATTCTCCATTAGGACTAAACTTAACTGATGACACTGCTTCCGTATGTCCCACCAGAGTAAATTTGAGAGTATAGTTTGGGTTTTCAGATGCTTGCTTGCTTCCATTGGCTGATGAGTGGGCCGACTCTGCTTTGGTTGTCTCCTTTGCTGCCATGGCTCTGAAGCTCCAAGTTAGGAGGTTGGCTAGGCGTCGGTCCTGGACCAGGCAACCCGTGTATTTTGGCTTTCTGCCCAGCAAAATTAAGATTAAAACATCAGATTCAAAAACAGTCTTAAATGATTATTAATAATTTCTGCATAGTCCTTAAACTACGATATACATTAATTCAGCAGCATGGCTCGGCCCACTTCAGTATTCCTTCGCTTCCTCCTTTGTAAACAAATACTTGAGAAATACTATTAAAAGGGTCCCATGCGCTGTCGCACGTAAAGTATTAACGCTGGGTATTTTGCGAACGCATAAAGCCGTCCAAAGCAGCGTAGGGCGGGGCAGCACTGGGGAAATTTGTACAAAATGTATTTTTCACCGTCCCTCCCCCACCTCCGAAATGTCTCAGAACACGGAGCAACCCTACCAGTCAAACACACGGTAGGTGCTTGAGCATGAATGAATCACTGAATTAAATAGATTTCAGAAGCTAAAAGAAAACCTGCGTAGGCGCCGCTGAGGCCCGGGCCGGCCCGCCACATTCTGCAGATACAAACAAGTCTGCACAGTCGCGTCAAACACTAACCCAGCGAGTAGGACTGCCGAGCGCATGTGCAGAAGGAGCCCCCGCCTACTTCCGAGCCGAAGTGGCCAATGGGAGGGGCCTTCATGCGCTTGCGCAAATGGAGACGCCAGGGTTTCCTTCCGGCCCTCTTGGCCCGCGCTTTCCACATGTAAATACTTCACTACCTTCTTTAGTGGAGTGGCAAGGTGAGCAGAACTTTTCTGGGGCCTGACTCGTTATCGCGGAAAGCAGTGAATATTTCAAAATACATTCATTTCGTTTTGGAAACCGGTAACGAGAAAGGACTGAATTTTCCGATGCCCTTAGCCGCAGGGTTAAGCTCACACTTGGCATGTGAGCTCCCCAGGCAGTGAGCTTTTCGGAAATGTAGCTAACGTAGATGTAAGGCGCGGATGACTCCTTGTAGGGTCTTGCTTTGTGGGCGGCTTCGATTCTGCTCCCTCTGGTGGTGTGGAGCCTGGTTGCGTGCAGGACAAGACTGCAATTAAGCAAGGGGAGCGTAGCGACTTCTGGTTTAACAGTTTTCCCTAAACGTTTAGGGAAGGATAAAGAGTGTTAGGAACATTTGCAGGCCAGTGCTCAACATATGATAGTGCCAAGGAAGACAAACGTTTAGCACTTATGATTTAAGCTCCCAAAGAAACGAAGTTCAGATCTGCATAGGTGTTTGAGACGGAAAAGGACAAAGAAGTCGGTGGAATGGGATAGGAAATGTGTAAGGTTATTCGTAATTAGGCTTGAGAGAGCTTACCCTAGTTTTAAATGGTTAATGGCTGTGAAAGTATTATGTAAAGGATACATGCTTTTCAGATGTTATCTTTAAACAGAAATATGTTTACCAAATAATTAGAAACCTGATTAGTTTCTCCAGTCCTCTAATTGCTCAATAAAGAGAGCCGAGAGAGTAAATGTTCTGTATAAAAGATTTTCTCGATAGTTGATGTCAGGAGGCAAATATCCCTTTTGATGTTTTGTCAAGAATTAAAATATTTGGCAACAAAGGGTTTCCAGTCATATAATGGATGATTTAAAGTCTTGCATTTTAGGCACAACAGCATAATTAGTTCACCTATAATAATCGACTATAGTAAAAACGTCATTGCTTTAAGACCCTACTATTTTAGTTTGGAATTTAGACAGGAATCGGACAAATGCTTTATTCATAGCTAGTGCAGATTAACAGGATAAACCCAATTGAAAAGGTGCTGGGAACGGAGAGCATCTTTAAAAGTGTTTGGAGTGTCCATTTATCTGCCTTAAATCATGGCTTTTCTTAGTTATTAAGGCATGGCCACCATTGACCTCCCCTTTAACATCTTAAAGTTCAGTTCTGATTAAACTCTGCCTTCTCCCTCTCCTTTCTTCCATTAGTCTAGTGTATTATCTGGGAAAGCTTAGTAACACTCTAGATTCTGCATCAATTGAAATTACTTCTAATTAATGCATTAAAAAATAAATGTAAAAGCACGTCAGAGAACAAAGTGTAGGCTTTGTTTCAAAGAAATTAAATCTGTATTTTTCCAATAACTGTTCTACGCACCAGGAAGGAGGAAACTAGACAAAGTAAACACATGACATAAGGACTAGGATGGGGTGGGTGTTGGTGCTAGAGTATATTTAGCCCACTAGAAATATCACAAGCATGAGTGGGGGTGGGGGGAGGCACATATAAGACTATGTTGATAGGAATATCCAGAAAAATAATTTTCTTCCAATGTTCCCAGAATTTGAAATTTCCAGTATTAAAATCCATTTCTTGATGTCTGGAAATTTTTGTTTACAAATACCATCAAGAATTCATATAAATAAAATTAAAGCAATGACTATAAACCTTTATTCATTAGTTATGTTCTAATACTAAGATGTAGTCCTAATATTGTAGTCCTTTTGAATTAGGACTAAGAATTTCAGAGTTTACTTCCTTGGGGACAAGGAGGCATCTTGTACCTGAAGTGTTTACAAGTAGGGAATACTGTACTGGTGCAAGGTTCCTTACACCGTCCTGTTTATAACAATTTGTTTTTGCTGCCCCTAACCAGATAGATGATTTGGAAGTTTTCCTCCCTGTAGAAATTGACTCATTTTCTTTAAATTTTCCACAAAAGTTGTAGAACCAAAAGTCTCATCTGTGGTTCAAAGGTTTATTTATTCCCCTTGCCCTTCAGAAAAGTTTATAAATATTCTAAATAGAAATATTGCCACAAATGGCTCATTTTTTAATAAAAAAAAAAAATCATTTCAGTATGTGTGTCAGATCTAACCATGGCCTGGGAGTGATTCCTACATTAAGGAATGTCTTGACTTTTTGTAGTGATTCCAATGACCAAATCCAGTCCTCAGAAATCAAGCATAATAGATGTACATACCCAGTTGCTTAATACCACAATTTAAATATATGAAAATCTAGTTGGGCTACATATGAGGTGGCCATATAACTTATCTAAACAGACTTTTTAAAGTGAAAGGGGGCACTAACATAATTAACAGGTGTTAATTGATCTAAAAACCGGACTGCCCCCAACAAACCAGTAGTCACTGCTGACCTCAAGAGGACTCTCCTCATATTCACAATGTAATCTTGGGAAGTTCTATACTCTTTATGTGGTAATTTACACCTCAGCCTGCCAAAATCTCTCTCAAACCTTGTACTGTTCTCTCCCCACCACTGGTTTTCTAGGTTTCTATTTTCTTCTTCCCCATCACTCTAAATAATGCTGAGCCCAAGTGGTTTAGGTAAGGCAGTGATCTACATTGTGGACACTCACTGGACTGCATTAACTTCCTCAGGTTAAGTGAGTATAGAAAAAAACTTAAAGAGTAATTTTATTCTTTGCAAAAACATTCAAGATCACAGAAATGAGCATTTATTGATATTTTTCTAAAACAAGACTTTTTCAAAATGGCAAATAAGGGCAACAGTCATCTAAGCTAGCTACAATAAACTTATAAATCCAATTATTTTGTACTATAGATGACAGTATAGTCTACAGGAACTAAGGCTATATTTTGCTTGAAGATTTTGTTTTGTTTTCAGAAAAAATACCTGGTCAGTGGGATCTTTCAAAAATGGTAGAGAAGCAATCATGGAATGAAGAAATACACCATCTTTCTGTTTCTACTGATCTGTCACTTAAATTGGAAGAATGCATAAAGAAAATGTTCTCATGCAGCAACACATACAAATATGTAAAAATGAAAAATCCCTATTTAAAAGCCTAAGGCAACCACTAGCTTCCACAATGGTTGTATGTAACTGGCTAAGTTTTTAACTTTAGAATATGCCAGGAGAGACTGGTGAGCTATTTTGGTACATATCAACACATGGGGTTGATTATATATTAGCTATCCTGTAAAATATACCCATTAACTTCTCTCAGAAGGCATAGGTTTTGTTTTTTTATTACCTCTGCTATGACAATATTTGCTTTTATAAACTTCAAGACAAATGTGTCTCCTGAAAAGTTACTACATAAAACACACTTTTTAAAATAGCTTTTAAGAGATGTTAATCCTGGTTGTAAACAGCAGCATAAAGGAATTCCTTTGAACCAAATACCCTTCACTAATATCACATAGATGCATAATCCTTCAGTCATTTAGCATTTATTGAATGTCTACTAAGTGCGAGGCACTCACCCGTGGCCTGACCGACCGCATTCAAGTACAAAGAATCATTAGAGCCATTCCAAATCAAAGTGTGAGCACACTTTGAAAAAGGACAGAGTGGTCAAAATGACGAGGTATGAACATAACAATATAAAGAGGTGATCTTTTTAATTTCTAACACTCCTTGGGACAATACTCCTTTAGGAAGTTTAGCTGTGTTAAATTCACACCCATGGATGGCACTGCTTTCTAAGGCAGTATTCATTTCAAAGCCTTCCCCTTCTGTGCCAGTGCCTTCTAAATTTGAGTATGAATAGAAATATGTTTGAGTTTAGCCATTATGGCACTAAACTCAAAATCAATCATTTGGATATTTTTTAACTTACGTTGTTTTGTCAGGTCATACAGAATTTTAGCACCACAAAAGGGGGAAGATGTCTGGGCTGAGGGTCTACACCAGAATATGTAACCTAAAAGCAACTTATACCTGATTTAGTCACTTTAAAGGTGATGATGAGGGTCAGAAAGATGGTCCAACATAAAAGAGTTGGCCCAGCTATGGCTGCTCTATCTAGTTCTGGCAGAGAACAGCTCCACCATGACTGCTGCTTTCTTCAAGACATAAAACCTATAGGACTCTTCCCTACCTTTGGACAGACAGTATCTAAGGGTTGTGACCTGAGGGGAAAGTAAATTCTCACAATTCTTGATTTTGTCATCTGTAACATAATGACAATCCACCTCAAAGCAGTTGGAGGATTAAATGAGAAAAAGTGAAAGCCCTTAGCCAGGTACTTGGCACACAACAGAGACTCAAATAAAAACAAGCTACCTTTATTTGACCTATAGGAAAACACACTGGGACTTCTTTGTCTCTCTAGTTGAATACAGAATGGAATCTTATCTACCCTTAATACTTTCTTCTTATTCCAAACTTACAGATACATCTTATGTCCAGTAACAAATTGATGTTTTAAAATTAGCACGTGGACATTTCACTTTATCACACATCCTTCTGATGCCCATCATTAGTACCACTCCTTCTGACAGTAAAGCATGAGGGTATCCTCAATGTCAGAGCCAACTGTGTTGGTGCCACATCTGCCATTAAACCTGATATATATACACATATATAGTTAAAGATATACATATATAATCTTTAACTTTTGATGACAGGAAAAGGTAACCTCAAATATTTCTCAACTGGGTAGACATATATTTACCCTGCTCACCTCATAATAGAAGAAAATGGCTCTGTTCAGTTCAGACAGCAAAAAAATCAGATTTGAGACTCCCATGTGTAGGTACACCTCTCTCAGCAAATTAGCAAATTTTGGAATGTAGGAGGTAGCATAGAGCATATAAATATG